CGCCGCCGAAGACGACGAGCCTGTTCCCGCCCGTCGCGGTGACCGACGCGCCTCTGCGCGCCACCGGCTTCTGTTCGCCTCGCGTCTCGACGCGAATCCACTCCACCTCATCTAAACCATCTCGAAGAATCATTTTGAACACAGAAATCGAGGACGACGACGGCGACGTTCCGCCCTTGAACCGCCCGCCGACGACGTAGACGTCGTTTCCCACGCGAATCGCGCGATGTCCCGCGCACGCCGGCAGCGCGCGATCGGGTGTCGCCGACATCGGCGTGCGTAAATTCCTCCACGTCCACGTGTCTAAATCTAGCTCGTGCGTATCCGCACAAAATCGCCCGCGATACGACCCACCGACGACGTACATCTTCCCCTCGGCGACGCACGCGCCGTGTTGAAATCTCGGCGTCGGCCGCTTTCCCGCGTGTTCCACAAATTCCCATCGTCCCCGCGCGCGCACGCCGCGTAACATGTCCACAGACGCATCGTCCGTCCCCAACACCTCCCGCATCCCCGCGTTCGTCCTCGATCGACGCTCTGGATCCCACCACGCGTCGCAATCTTCCTCCAGCGTCCGCACGTACAGTCGCATCGCCTCCGCCGCGCTCATCGTCCCCAACGATTCCCACATCTTCCGCATCGCCACCGCGCCCCCCCATCCCGCGCTCTCGCGCGATGCATCCTCGTCCAAGACCGCTCTCGGCGCGTTCGCGCGCGCGCCGTGTTCAACCTGTCGACGCAACACGTCGAGCAACGCCCGGGTCTCGTCGCGGAGCTCCGCGTCGATCCGCGTCCCCCGTCTCGACGCCGCGCGCGCCGCCTCGTACCTGCGCCTCGACGCGACGACCGCGTCGTCGTTCGTCATCGTCAGTCACGCGCTCGCGCGCTCTCCGCCGTCGCGTCGCGTCGAGGCAGCCATCCGTCGCGTCTCGAGACATCATCATTCGCATTCATTCCGTCCCAAAATCGCGTCGCCCGTCCCGCACACCCGCGCGCGCGTCGATACCCGTCGCGTCGGTCGCGTCGCGCACCTCTCCGGGTACGCCGCGGGCGTCGGTCGCGCCATCCCGGCCGTCGCGTCGCGCACTCACGCGGTGGAGTCATCGTGCGTTGGATTCATTCATTCATTCATTCATTCATCCATCCATCGGTCCATCTGTCGACCGCGTCCGTCGACGCGCGCGCGTGGACGCCGACGACGACGCGCGCGATGCCGGCGTGCACGGCGACGACGGCGTCGCGCGCGTGCACGGCGTCGACGGCGACAGAGGACGCGACGTACGATTTCTCGACGTGTGATTTCGATCGAGATCTTCACGTGGATTGGTGGGTGCACGGCGACCGAGAGCGCTCGGCGCGCGCGGGGCGGGCCGTCGAGGCGGCGTTGCGTCGATTCGCGCGCGCGCGATTCGGAGAGGCGGGCGCGTCGGAGGGCTTGGCGTCGATGACGGCGGCGGACGTCGCGGAGGCAACCGTCTCGAGCGGGACGTACGGCGCGGACGCGCGAGCGGCGTTGAAGGCGCGGACGCGACGGGTGGGAGAGAATTGGCGCGCGATCGCGGAGGCGGAGGACGCGTACGCGATGCGGGCGCGACGCGGGGTGGAGGACGGGATCGCGGCGGAGGCGGCGGCGGAGGCGGAGACGCGGTGGTCGATCGGACGCGTCGGTGCCGTCGGTGTGGGCGCCGTGCTCGGTGGTGCGGCGTTGTTTCTGAGCGGTGGAATGGCGGCGCCCGCGGTGGCGTCGGCGCTGGGGGGGTTGGGGGCGCTCGGCGCGGGCGCGGCGGGCGCGATGTCGGCGCTCGGCGGCGCGGGCGTGATTTTCGGCGCCACGGGGGCGGGTATGGCTGGTTCGCGATCGCGCGCAGGACCTCGCGCGAGCTCGAACAGTTTCAATTCATTCCCTTGCGAGGCGCCGGTCGCGGGTTCGCCGTGCACGTGTTCATTCCCGGATTCCTGCGAGACGGGGAGGATTTATTAACCACCTGGGGCGGGGATGGTAACCAGTACGTGGTGGTGGTCAGCGAACCGGGTGCGCTCGGCCTATCGCTCGGCCGCGATTCCGAGGGGAACATTTACGTCGAACCGTTCGATGCGGAGGCAATAAGCGTGGGGTCCAAGGCCAAGGACGCGGGCGTGATTGCCGGAAGCGTGTTGGTGTCGTATCGCTCGCTCGATCCATCCTTTCAGAAAAGCGCTTCCACGCGTTACGTCTTGAGCAAGAATCGAGACCCCGTGCGGACGCTCACGGAGATTGAGGATTTACCGAGACCGTTGGAGCTGCGTCTAGCGCTTCCGAACCAGGACGAGGAGTTGAACGAAAAGATTGGCGCCATGGTGGACGACATGCGCGACGTCGTCACGGAGAACACGCTCGAGGACAGCGTGAACTCGCCCGAGCTGGATTTGATCAGGCAGGAGAAAAAGCGGAGTCACTCCACGGGGGAGCAGTACGTTTTGAACTGGGAGCCGACGACGCTGTCCCAACTCGGAGCGGCGATGCAATTCTTAGGAGGCAAGTACGCAATCAAGATGGCCGCGCCGCAGGTGATCGCAAAGACGGCACTCGCATCCATCGCGAGCGCCTTCGCGTGGCCGGTGACGCTGCTCTCTGTCGCGAGTTACCTCGACAACCCTTGGCAGCTCGCTCGGAACAAAGCGGACATCGTCGGCGGAGAGATCGCTCGCGCATTGCTCTCGCAATATCACGGTCGACGACCGGTGACGCTGGTGGCGTACAGCGCCGGTGCATACGTCGTGCAGAGCACGCTCATGAAATTACACGAGGCTGGCGACAAGGGACAAGACATCGTGGATAGCGTCGTGCTCATCTCCGCACCGCTATCCAACTCGCGCGAGACGTGGGCTCCGATGCGAGAGGTTGTGTCTGGACGTTTCATCAATGTGTACGTGCCGGACGACTGGATGCTGATGTTCTTCTATAAATTACAGAGCGTCGATACGACGCTCGGTCTGGCAGGGTTACAACCTGTAGCACACGAACACATCGAAAACGTCGCCTTGCCAGGACTTAAGCATGCGAAGATCCCGGACAACATGGCCGATATCCTCGCGTACCTCGGCGTCGAGGACGAGATCAAGTAGAAAATTCACGAATTGAAATGCTATGTATGTACCTATTGTCCATCTGTACACACGTCTCGGCTATAATTTAATTCCCTGGTTTTGATTTCGCCTTCGCTCGCTCCTCCGGGAACACGCTTCGTCTGTGAACCGCGTGCCGCATGAGAGCCTGAAGCGTCTCCATCGACGACGCGCTCGCGCTGATTGATCGACCGCTCGCTTGAAGCGCATTCATACAATCGGAAAGAGCGATGAACGTATCGATATCATCCAAGGGACTCGTACACGAATCATCGTCGTCATCAAACCAGAATTCGTCGTCTGAATCGTCAATGTCCCCCGCGCGCGAATACGGATCAGCGTCCTGCGCCTTCTTTGCTAACGCTCGAAGAGTGGCCTCATCAAACTGCAGGTCTGCGTTTTCGTCATCTTCATCGTCGTCGACCAAACCGTTCGGATCCTCGTACTCTTCGTCCGATTCTTCCCAAGGGTACCGGCGCTTGCCGGACTGCTCGTCCTGAGTGCGCTCGTCAATTTGAGTCTTCAAGTCTTGGACGAGGGACACGAGCGTGTCAAGGATGCCTCCGAGCGCGCCGCGGATTTCCGGGGTCAACACGTCATCTGGCGCCGTCATGAGGGACATCAGTCCCAGCGCGCACACCTTTTTGGAGTGTTCAGACGTGAAACAATGACGAGCTCCGGATTTCGTCCTCACCGAAAGCATGGCTGACCATCGAGCAAAGACCTCATTCGTCGCTCCCGTTCGGTTCGTCGCTTGCAGAGCAAGCACCGGATTGTAGTGCAACGCGTGCGCAAACGTCATCATGAGCAAGTCTTTGAAATATTTCATCTCCGCTCGCTCCAGACGAGCCAGAGCGATGTTGATGTACGGCTCGATGACCACATCCACTCGACCGCGACAGTTGGTCATGACGCACTCCATCAGCTTCGGCGCCGACAGACAATCAGGCTCGGGATACTCGCCCTCAAGAACCTTCTTGCAAATGTTGTACGTGTCCTCCACGTAGGAAGTACCCGGGGTGAGAAAGTGCTCCGTCCCTCGACTGATGTAATTGTCCAGCGGAATGAGCATGTTCTCGAAATATTGCAACGCCCAGTCGTCCATCGTTGTCATCATCAGCGGCCAGAGTTCCCACATGCGCGGCGTGACCTCGGGGGTGAAGTACGTCAGATAAGCCAAAATCTCCAAAACTTCCTCAAACACGTCGTACCCTTGATCACTGAGCATCTTGTGAAGAATCGGAAACACCGCGGCTTCAAGTTCAGGGTACATGTGCGGCAAGCCAGAGATGGACTCCAAAATTGTTGACATGGCCCGCAAGACGCCGATAGCGCCCAACATGCCCATGTCGTCGTCGTCGTCTTTACTCTCGGACTCGACGACCTTCCAGAAAGCGGCGGCGAGGTTTTGTGTCATGTGTAACGCGTACGGAGCGATATCCTCGCCAAACTTTTCCGTGATTGTCTCCAGCGTATACACGATGTCCTCCGATTCGACTTCGTTCATTAGCTTAAAAAAGTCGTCCAACAACTGCGGTATGAGTGGCTTAAGGTTGCTCACGTCATCGGTCTCTTGAATAAAAGATCCGAGCGCGACCACGGCCTCGACTTGAACAGGCAACTGTTGATCCTTCATGGATTGTACGACGCTCGAAAACAGAGTTAAGAAGTTTTGCTCCGAGGTGAACTCGATGCCCGAATATTTGGACGCGCACGCGACGGCTTTGGCGCGAATGTGCGCGTGCGCACAGGTGAACGCCGGGTGGACGTGCGTCATAATCATCGCCTCGAGTTGCTGTTTGTACGTGTCGTGGCGCTCTAACGTGCTCGCCAGATGCGTGACGATGAGCAGAGCGCCGTCGAGGGCGTAGCGCGCCTGCGTCTCCATCTGAGCTCGACTGGCCACTGCCTGCGCGTGCGTCTGGAAAATTTGTACCGTCACTGCCAAAACCCTCGGAAGGTTGTTCTCCATGCGCTTTGAGGATTTGCTGCACAGCTCGTTCAGATACCCGATGGCGGCCATTCGCGGCGAGTACATGTCCTCGATGAAATCTTGACTCTTTCGCACGTATTCGTGCGGATCATCGGCGAAGAGCTCGTCGTCTTCAGCGTTAAAACAGAGGATGGGGAAGATAACGCGCTGGAAAATCTCGTCGAGATGAGGTTCCATCACCTTGTACGTCAGCGGTAGCGACACGGCGGTGGAGAGGTACTGCACGGCGAGGTTCACGACGCGATCTGGCATAATGGCTCCAGCAGAGAGCTTGCTCAAGAACTCGATGTAAACTCTCAGGAAATGCGCGGCATAGTTGTTGCGATACATCGTTGACAGTGGCTTGTGTTCCGCCTTGACTTGCTTGGCGTTGCCGTACCTGGAGAACATGCGATTAACGACGTGCATCGCCCACTTCTTTGTCTTCCACCACGGCCAGTGCTTGAGCTCCGTCTTGTCCTCGGTTGGCATCCCCTCCGTGGGAACTTCCGCGGTTATGATGGCGTGGAATGCCGACATCCACTCTCGAAACGTCCCCTCCGCGGCCAGAGACGGTCCGACGTTCATGTACGTCGCGCTCCAATACGTCTTGCAAATCGCCTTCTTCAACTCCTCCAGCTCGGCGTTCGGCGGGCCGTTGTACGCCAGCAACGCCTTGAGAATCTCCAACAATCTCGGGAAAACGACTCGAATGATTTCCTCGACGTCTCCGCGATCGCTCTCGTCCTTAAACTCGTACTTTCGGCACAAAGCGTTGAGCACCATCACCGTTCCAACCAGTCTCCCGCTCGCGCTCGCGTTCGCCTCCGACGTCAAAGCCTCCAACACCTGCGTCGCGATCTCGGGCCATCTTTCCGGGAAATCGTGATGTACCATCACTCGAACCGCCTCCAACAACTGACTTCGCACCTTGCTCGGCGTCGTGCTGATCGCCTCGAGCGCCACTCTGCGAACCGCCGCCTTTTCGCCCTCGTCCAGCGCCGCCGCCGGCGTGGTCGTGCTCGCGCTCTGCTCCGCCCTCGACGCGCTCCACGACTTGGCGCACATGTGCTTGAAGTATATGCTCGCGCTCTGCCGCGTGCCGATCTCCGTCGCGGCGTCCGAGGCCAGGGCGAGCAGGCCGAGAGCGGCGCCGGAGTGACTGGCGGCTGAGCGTAAGAAATCATCCGCGGCGGCTCTGATCGTCGCGTCGGGAGAGACGGAACCGGCGAGCGCGCGCTTGAGGTGCTCTATCGTCTCCGCGTCCATGGTGCGCGCGCGGTGCGACGGGCGAGGGGAGGAGTGGAGGGCGACAGTGGACGCGGGACGTCGCGAACGCGGGGCTCGGCGCGAGAGGCGCGCGGTAAGCGGAAGGCGGAGAAGACGACGACGCGCTGAGACGATTGAACATTACACGACGTCGTTCACGAGATGATTCACCAGGAATATTTGGCGTCGATGAAGCGGTCCTCGTAGAGCTCGGCGGCGTGGGTCCAGCTCACGTCTCGCTCGAAACCGCGCGCTTGGATTCCGCGGAAGGATTCTCTGTGGTCGCGATAGGTACCGATGGCGTGGCCCATGGCGTCGATGAGCTTGTGCGTCTCCGCGCTATCAAAGGTCCATCCAGTTCCAGCGTTGGTGAACGGGTCGTATTGCTGCACGGTGTCGCGCAAACCGCCCACCGCGTGCACCACGGGAACCGTGCCGTAGCGCAAGGCGTAGAGCTGGTTCAATCCGCACGGCTCAAATCTCGAGGGCATGAGCAGAATATCCGCCCCGGCGGTGATTCTGTGCGCCATTTTCACCGAAAAACCGATCCAGGATCGAATTTTATCGCGGTTTCGTTCCTCCATGCCGCGCAGAGCGTCCTCTAAATCCCCGCGACCGCTGCCGAGCATGATGAGTTGAACGTCTTGACCCGCCAACCATCCCTCGGCTTGGGTGATCAGGTCGACTCCTTTTTGATCGTCCAATCGCCCGATGAAGGCTAACACGGGAACATCGTCGCGCTCGGGAAGCCCCAACTCGCGCTGAAGCGCTCGCTTACACGCGAGTTTGCCCGCTTCAAACGCGTCGGCTCTCGGCTCGTATCGCCGGTAGCCGTCGCCGTCGAGGTGATGGTCGATCTCCGGCGACCACTCGTTCAAGTCTATGCCGTTGACGATTCCACTGAGCTTACCCGCGCCGAAATCACGAATCGTTGGCGCGAGCCCCCACCCACCCATGTCCGTGGCGATTTCCCACGCGTACCCTTCGCTCACGGCGATCACCCGCGTGGCGAGCGACAGACCCGCCTTCATGATGTTCATGCACTCTCCTCCCACGGGGTCGTCCAGGCGGAACATCTCCTTGTACTTATCCGGAAGTTGTAACGCCCCGAACTCGTCCAACGGTCCGCGACCTTGGTGCGCCATGTTGTGCACGACGAAGCACGAGCGCGCGAATTCAAATTTCCCGTGATCTCTGTAATACGCCTGCAGATACACCGGAAGCAGCGCCGCGTGCCAATCGTTCGCGACGAACATCAAATTACTATCGCCGTACGGCGCACCGCCGCACGGGACGTGCCACACCGCTTCGAGCGCGGCTTGACACAGCATCGAGTTGCGAAACATCGCGTCCGAGCGTTCGCCGCTATAAATGCTGTCTCGCACGTGGTGATACGCCCCGTGATCGACAAAGACGTAATCGACCCCATCCGCGTACGCGTGGAAGTAACCGACCTCGGTGGGATGTCCCAAGACGTTGTACGTCACGCGCACGTTCGTGTCGAACGCCTCTTCGTACTCCTTATACCTCGGTACGACCACCATCACTCGATGTCCGCGCGCGGCGAGCGCCTTCGGGAGCGACTGCATGACGTCTCCCAGACCCCCCGTCTTACTGAACGGCGCGCACTCACTGGCGACCATGATCACGTTCAATCGTTCGCGACACGCGCGCGGCGCCGTCGCGTCGCCGTCCCGCCCCGCCGTCGCCGCGACCGCCGCCGTCGCCGCGACCGCCGCGTCGCCCGCCC